TAGGATTAGAAGATTAAGAGTAATTGGCAAAGGCAGACTGGATGGCTCGGGAGATTGGTAAGGGATCCGAAGCCTTTCACCTCCTGATTAGCCAAAGATGTAAACCAGGTAATCAAAAAAAGAGGATTTATTAACGTTTGATGTTCCAGTGCAGATGGTTAGTCTAGTTTCTAATCAGTCGTTGCAGAAGAAGCCAGGAGTCAGACAGCTTTACCCTGTGCATGTAAGCCTTGCGGTTCAATCTCTTACGTGGATATAGGCCACTAGTTTCTGCTGGTGGAATTTTCTTCATGAAACATATGATTACAGGAGCTGGCAGACTTTGTCTTCCTTGGTAATTTTTGTACTTATTTTCTCTAAGCAGTATTTTTAAACTGCTTTGGCATAATAAGGTCTAGAATTGAACTTTGAAAAGGAGGTGGGAAAGCAGAGTAGGGTAGTATTTGGATCAACGGCAGGTTAAAGACATTTAAAATAAAAACCAACATAAAAAAAAACGGAAAGTACCTCTCCTTGCCCAAGTCTGTGTATTCCATGAAATCATTGGTTTTGGTCTGACTAATTAAGGTAATATAGACATATCTGTTGGAAACATATAGTGCAATTACACAGCTTTGTTGAAGTACTTGCCAACATGCTTTAGAAAGTACATCTTGAAACATTGTCAGTTATTGTGTTATCTTTTCTCTTCTTTCTGGCTATTTTTGGAAATGTGCGTGGTGTGTGAGGAGATAGCTTAGTTGTATTAACACATGAACTTCAATCCTTCTGATAAAATCTTTACCGGTTTTCAAGATTTTGGTAATTTTCCCCATTAATGAATGAATGTAATGATTAAAGTTTTGAGTTTCAAGGAGTCTTACTGTGAGATATATTTCAGTTTAATCCCAAACTGAAACATGGCTTTGAAGAGCAATTTTTGAAGAATATCAGTGCAACCATCTGGAGTGCAGTAGTGGAGAACTCATTCCAATAGCTGTCTTCCTCTATACTCTATAGAGCATAATAATGCCCACTATATTGCCATAATTGAGGTGCTGCAGGAGTAAGTGATAATCTCAAGGTCTCACAAGCAAATGACAGTGAAGGAAAGAACTAAATCAGGTTTCCCCAGTCCAAACAGCCTTGTATGTTAGATTCGCTTTAAAAAGAGAATTATGAAGAGGAACTTTCTTCTGTGATTATTGAAGGAACTGTTGATCTATAGGTGCTCATACATTTTTGGTGCAAGCTGTACTTGTACTTGTGACAGCCACTAGTTATGTCAACTGGCATTTTGGACTCCACTGCTGTAATAGAATTGCAGAATTTTAGCATTGCTTTTGTTTAGTTCTGCTTTATGTTGGGGAGGAGCATCGACATAAGAAAATATAACTCTTGTCAGTTAAAACAGGGGACTAGGTTTTGCTGGGATCAGAATGAAATACGGGAATGAATACTAGAAGCTTTCACTTCTGATAACACACAGAAATGTGGATATTGATTTGTAGGGTAGATATATATTTCTTTTTTCCTTCTTCTCTTTCTCCTTTATCTTTCATCTTTCTGGGGCAGGTCAGAGAGAGCAGGAGGTTAAGGACAATTATATGCCCAGTGAAGGAGTTTGGTGCCTGTACTTAGAGATACTATATGTAACTGAAATATCTGAAACTCAAGCCAAGACCTGAGCAGAGTGCACCAATCCAACCTAAATAATTCTATGATTCTATGAATCCAAACAGTTCTGCAAATGTGTAGGCCTCTCCCAAATTTGGCCGGCTGAAAGCTGAAACAGCTTGAGTTTATACTGTCACTTCAAGTGCTTCTCCCAGCCTCTTTGGCTCTTTGGAAACCAGTTTCTGCAGTTCTGTTTAGCTGGTGACCCCCAAGGAGGCTTTCAGTAGATTTTGTTGTGTATGAAAAATGTCTTTTGAGTGTAACAACATTAAGATGATCCTGTGTTACCTTTCACGTACATGCTCTCCTAATAGGACACATTATTTTGAATTGTGGCAAAGTAGTCATGGAAATGCCAGCCCTATAATTGGTAATCAATTACATTCCAGTGCTGTAAAGATTGTGTGTCCGTGTTCCCCTTTTGCAACAAGTTAACACAAATAGTGCGAGAATACGTAGTTCTATTTTATCTTCTTGCGATGTTGTGATTTACAGTCCATTGTATAAAATGCTAGTACAAATAATATGTTTTTCCAGTTCAGAAGTAAAAGTAATTAGCAATGGACAGCAGCTGGTATTATTGTCACTCACAATTTCTAAGTAGTGTCTACAGAATGTCTGCAAAATAGGTTTGTTATCTGTAGGCTCTGTGAATGGACAGGTGAGAGTAATGGAGGTATTTACTCATTAGAGTCACTTAAGGTAAAGCATTTTGGCCAGTTTTCTGTGCATGCATAGAACAAACATAAGTAGCTAATTAAATGAGCAAAACCAGATCACCTTGCAACTTAGGTAATCACAGAGTGAGCTGCTGTTATTTTCTGTTTACCATAATTCCATCAGTGCCTTCCTTAAGTTATCTTTCAATACCACTGAGACTTTGAACTGTGAAATAATGGAGTGGATGGAGACCTGAAGTGCCAGATACTGTGGAGCAGGCCCAAATCCCACTGTTGTCAGTGGATCAGGCTCAGCATGGCTTTGTCTCCAGTGATTGCTCATCAATGAATAAAATGAGTTATCTCCAGCAGTACAGAAGACCTGTTAAAACATCCCTTTTCCAAAGAACCTCTTCAAAACCAAGCTCATAACTTGATACCAGAACTTGGAGCCCCAGTTTAAGTGACAACGTTATTACAGTTAAGGCCTAGTTATTTGGCTTCCTGACTCACCGTTGCCTAATGAGATAAGTTTCCTAAACACAGAGAAAGCACTTTTCAGTTTATTTAAGAAAATGTTTTAACCAGAGTACGGAAACTGTGCTTTCTTTAAAAAAAAAAGAAAAAAAAAATTGAAGGCTGAATGGCAGCAGCTCATTAAATCATGGTTTAGCAACTCATTGACTCACTATACATATTCAATTCTGATGGGATACAAAGGATAGCATCTCATTCTCCGAGCTAAATGGCTAAAAGGCATTTACATATTTACATTATATGCATTTAAAAATGTTTACATTTCTTGCTCTCTGTATGTCTGAGTCTTTCCGTATGGTGTGATACTGAATGAGCAGTGATCACATGCTTGCTTTGTGGCACAGCTGTTGAGGAGGAGAAGAAGAAAAATAATTACACCATTTGCCTAATGCATTACAACTGAATCCTGTAGAGATGTAGTAATATGCTTACTGGTTAGGAGAATGGAAATCTAATCCTGTGTGGAAATTTTATATTCCCTGTAAGGCATCTCTTGGGTGTAAAAATTGAGAACATGGCACAAGGAAGCTTCCACCCATGTCCTTGATGTAGTGGTGTAGACTGGCTGGTGGCAAAGGAGTAGATGTCTGGATTTTGGGCGTAAAGAGGAATTATCTTATGGATGCTGTACACTCTTTACTATTCAGGAAAAGAAGTAGAGCAGTGATGACAGTTTTGTCAGGAGATTCTTTCTTTGGCCTTCAAACCAGTTGTACGGGAGCAGCAAATCTCCCCCTGATGTCACGGGCAGGTGTGGTGCACTCCTGGGAAGGGCAGGCCTGCCTGCTGTGAGAACACAGGCTTTAACAGCGTAAGCCCTGGAAGCCTTGTTTCCTTCCTGCAGACCGTTTTGTTCACAGATCATGAGGACAGTTAAATAGACCTACCTTTTTTTTTTTTTTTTTTTTTTTTTTGGGTGTGGGGCAAAGATACTGTCAAATCAGTTGAATTCTATTTCTAGGCACAATTTCTGACATGAGGATTTTCACAGGGAAGGGCGTATGGCTTCTTTGTCTGACATGTTGGTTTCTGTTCCCTCACAGCCCCTGGAGTAGGTTTCCAGCCTAGACGTATGTTTTGCAAGAACTTGGAGCAAGCTTTCCA